GACTTCCACAAAAAAAAAAGACGGCAATTTTTGCTGAGCTTGTTTACACTGACAATGTGCACAAAATGAGGTCACTTCTCCTAAGGATATCTATACATAAGGAGGTCTTTCTTGCCACGATGTGCGCAAAATGAGACGATTCCCAGCACGACTCTCTAAGATGGCTGGACAACACAGGTAGCGAAATCTCGTCGCTATCTCAACCCTGCCATGGTTGCAGGTAAGGCTACACAGCCCATAAGACAGCTGCAAGCAAGACTACGACGGCAATGCCACACCTGTGACCAAGAGGACAAAAGTGATGCCACCGTTTTGCGAACAAAATTACGCCGGCACTGCCATAGCTGCGAGAAAGACAACACAGGCAATTCCACAGATGCAAGCACGACTACACAGGCTATGTTCTTTCTCATCCCGTTCCCCACCTTGTACATAAATTCTTCTGGGTTAATCTCTAACCATTTCCCATTCTCACTCCCTATCTCACACTCTGTCTCCCTTTATGTCACACTCTCTATCTCACTCTCTCACACTCCCTCTCACACCATCTCCCATTCTCGCTCCCTATCTCACGCTCTGTCTCTCTCTCTTTATGTCGCTCTCTCTCTCTCTCTCTCTCTCACTCACTCTCACACAGTCACTATCGCGAAAGTAGCCCTGCCTTACCAGAGATCACAAATCGAGAGCGAGGTCACCCGTCTTTTTTTTTTTTTGGGCGAAAGTAGCCCTCCCGTCCTCCCCTGAATAGAATAGGCTTTGTTTGTCAAAAACAGAGTTCTCTTCGCTTTGCGCCTGGTCGTTCCTTCCATTTCACTTTTTTTGCAATCTTTTTTTTATTTTTATTTTTATTTTTATTTTTTATTTTTACTTTTTTTGCAATCTTTATTATCTAGTTGAGCAATTCCATTATGCCTGCATTTGGGCAATTTTCACTCCAGATGAAGCGATAATGACAGTATGTTTTATTCGGGGGAAAGATGGGAGTAGTAGTTACAGTAGTAGACTGAGGAAAGGTTGAGAGAAGGACGAGGGGAATGATGAGAAGACTGTGCGCAGCAGTTAGAGGGATGCAGAAGGGAAAGGAGGAGAGCGGAGTCACAAGGAGAACATTCGTAGCAGGATGAAGAGGGGAGAGGAGGAAGGAGGCAGGAGGACGACGAGTGACAGGAATCAGAGTATAAAACTCAGGCTTGGAGGTGGAGGGGGGGGACACTACAGCCTTGCAGGGGTGGGGTGGATATCACGACCGACATGGTTCCACTTTTGAACACCGTGTCCTGGCTGTAGTGGTTAACATACCTGGCTCTTGAGGCCGAGGTAGCCGGTTCAAATCCATGCTTGCACGGTGGAGGACGTCGGGCTCATGCTGGGATGGGTAGTGCCATCCTGTAACCTCAGCTGTGGGGGAGCTAGATGTGCAGATTCACTTAGCTGCTTGGAGGTGGAGGGGAACGAGAAAGAATTATAGGTGTTAAGAATGATCCTTGGAGGTGCAGGAAGAAGGTGAGAAGGTAAGGGGGGGTTCGAGTAGGAAGAAATGAGGGGAGGAGGGGACAGAGGGCAAAGGAGGAAATGGAAGCAATGAGAGCACGAGCTGCAGCATCTCTGCCATACAGAATAGTAACTCCTCTCCTCATTGTTGCACCCTTGCTCCATAGAAATGGCCACCAATAGATTGATCTTGCCCTTTTTGGCATCCACTTGCAAAGTTGATTTTGTGTACGTGGAAAGGTCAAAATCCAATTAAAAAAAAAATTAAAAAAGGAAAAAAAAGGAAAAAAAAAAGGAAAAAAAAAGGAAAAACGAAAAAAGAGGTTGGCCTCACTTGACGAAAAAGGCAGCTGACACAGAACAGGTCTGCTGAGTGGGGACCAGGGAGCAGAAGTTCTTCTGCCTAGTAACAGCACAAATGCATGAATAATAGAATATTTATTAGAGATCACAAATTCATGCACATTTAGAGAGTAGTAGTTCATAGGACTGCCCTCCTCACCATCCCCAATCACAACATAATGGGTTGTTTAGGCCTGAAAAACACGACATTCATCGACCTCCCGCCTGCATTTTCCTGCTCCCCCACTCTCTACTTCCCTCCCCCCCCCACCACCACCCACTTCCTCACTGTGATTTTTATGGGTTGTTAAGGCCTGAATACCATTACCTTCATTGACCTCCAGCCTGCTTTTT